TCAACCCCGTGGTTGGTTTACGGAAGTGCGGTTAGAAGTCTTGGCGCTGTGTAGTAATGGTGTTCATGGGAACTAGGAACAGTCACGTGAAGTCGCTACAGAAAAACCTGGTCAGTGCGCACCCTGCCCGGGTGGTCCAGGGTGGGCCCAGGGTCTTGGCTGCTGCTAGGGTGCTGGGGGCTTCATTGTCGGGCCATCGCCTCAGGCCACCAGGGCTCGTGGGCTGGCACTGCCGCTGTGCAAGCTCCTGCATTCAGGCATGAGTGCTGCCCACCTGCCGGTCTGGGAGTGCCCACAGGTGTGCACTGACCCAGGTGGGCTGCACAGGTAGATCTGTGGGTGGATGGTTACCTGAGGCTTGTGCTGACTGAGGCCTCGCCTGGACGCTGCCCTCAAGGTCTCCTTAGCTGCAGCTTCTGTCCCCTTGGGTGATGGCTTGTGCAGGTGACTCCTAGGGCTGGCTGGAGGGTCCTGGGGCACCAGTGGACACAGTGGACACGCCCCCAGACGCTGGACTGCTGGAGTTCATCTTGGCTCACCCCAGATCTTCACTGCAGCCTTGGTCGTGCCTCGGTTTCTCCGTCCGTGACCTGGGGTGCTCCTGGCATTGACGTCGTGTGGTCCACACTGCGCCCTGGCCTCGCTCCTCCCCACGGATCCGGTTTTGCTCAGGCGGTGGCCCTCCCCGCCCTCCTTGCCCTCCTGGTGCAGGCCCGGCGGGCAGAGCACTGGCCGATGCCCCCCGCGTCGGCCGGCGCAGGCGGGGGCCGGCGCTCCCTCGCTCACCAGCTGGGCCGCGCGGGTGCCCCATGGCAGCGGTCCAGTCCTACGACCGAGGGCCCCTGAGGCGCGGCACAGGGTCTGCTCCGTGACTTCCAGAGGTCCAGGCACTGATGTTGCAAGGATCGACAGTCTAGGTTTTTTTTAAACAAATCGTACCAAAACAGGTTTATGAAAAATGTGGGAAATCTGAACGTCTTGTGGCTGACAAAAGCATCCTCCTCACAGCGTGAACGACAGGGTGACTGGGTGTGCCTGTGGAGACAACCTGGACTTGCCCCGAGGCCCTCCAGAACCCGGGCTCGGCCCCTGCCTGGGCCGATGCTTCCTTCTGCCATTTTGTTTTCTTCAAATGTGACTAGAAAGACAGACTCGACCCAGCCAGGTGTCCCCGAGGGTGTCCCTGCAGGTTCTAGTTCACGCCCCGTGTATCTGCTCACCCTTCTGGTGGTCCGCCACGGGCAGCCCCGCCCCCACTCCGGGGCTCCGTCTCCCAGGCTAGAAAGAGTCTGTGTTTGACCCCAGTGGTCGAAAGTGCCTGATGACCCTAGAAGCGGTTCTTGCTTCTTTGCTTCAGCGCCTGGCTCCCTGTGACACGGGGACTTAGGAAGTGTTGTAGAGTTGTCACGCGGTGGCAGAATGCTCACTCATTCTGGACAGAGGTGGCCCACAGGAAGCTTTCTGTGGCAGTAAGAAGTCCCAAGCAGCCCTCGGGGGCCCCCGAGGTGTAGGGCGCGTGTCGCGTGCGTGCGGAAGTCAAGGCCGATGGTCAGGGCCGGGCAGGGTGGACCGGGCCTCCCCAGTGCATCCGCAGCACAGAGAAGGGTCAGGACTCCTGCCCGGCCCACTGCACAGGGCGGATGTTTGCGTGTGCATGTGTGAGTGTGCATTACGAACGTGTGTGTACATGTGTATGGTGGGGCACCCCAAAACCCCTGCCACCCCCCATCCAGTCAGCGGAAGACGGAATAGAAGAAAAAGGCGGACCGTCCCCCAGGAAGAGGGGCGCCTGCCGGCCAGCCGGCCTCGAGCCGGCACGGGGCCTTCCCGCCGGAAGCGCAGCTGAGCCCCGCGGCCGTGCAGCCAGCGCCTCGTAAGGCTTGATGGGTGTGCACACCCGTGTGTCTGCAGTGCGCACTCCTGTGTGTCTGCGGTGCGCACACCCGTGTCTGTGGTGTGCACACCTGTTGGTCTTTTTCTGGGGCGCCTGGACCGGTACACCCCTTCCAGCACGTCTCGTCAGGTCCTCCTCTGGCTCTTCTCTGTAGGCCCCTGCTCACAGCCCGCTGGGCTCACCCTCTGCACCGTGGTGGCGGGCCGGGGCAGGCAGGGACTCTCAAGGAGCAGTGAGGCTCTCAGGTGACAGACATGCAGCCTGGCACCCTGTGGCGGTGGGGTGGCGGTGCCAGGGTGCACAGGTAGGAGCTCCGGGGGCCTCTGCTCCCCCGGGCCTGTGTGGGAAGGAAGAGCCTGTGAGCAGCGAGACCCTTCCAGGGCTGGAGGCCTGACTCAGTGACGTGGTAGAGTGACCAGTGAGGCTGCTGGCTCTCTCTGGGCCTCAACTCTGCCTGGAGGAGGGGTGGCGCTCACGTGTGCGGCGGACACCCCATGCGTAGGGAGCGAGGTGCCATCTCCGGGTCTCTCTCTTCACTGGGGGGGATGGCCTGGGTTGCTTCCTGGGGAAGCCGCAGCCATTCGCTGGGTCCCGTGCTGACGGGGGCCCCACCTGGCAGCCCTCCCCTAGCAGGTGGCATGGGAGAGGGATCATGGGCTCCTCGCACCTCGGGGCCTCCATGCTGCTCCCCGGCGTCCTCCCCAAGCAGCTCAGAAGGGGCCTCTTCCCTCAGCTTCCCGCCGGGGTCACCCTCCTGTCCTGTGGGTGTAGTGACAACACCCCTGGTGGGCCGGCTCCCTTCGGTCCCTGGCGCCGAGCCGGGGTACGTCAATGCTCAGTGAGTTGAAGGAGCGCAGCGGGGTCGGAGCCAGGAGTCCGTGGGGTTCAGCGTAGGGGTGCAGGGCGAGTGGCTCCTTGGGGCTGAGGCGGGCTGGCACTCTAAGAGGTCAGAGGTGGCTGGGAGTCTGTCCCGGGCCCCAGGGGAGGCAGCAGCAAGGCGGTGACCTGTGGGTGTCCTGGTCCGGCAGCCCGGAAGGTGAGCGTGAGGAGGGCGAAGCGAGTGTTTGCCCGGTGCTCAGGCAGGAACTGGGGACCTCAGACGGAGTCGTGCGGTGTGCACGAGCCGGCGGTCACTGGGGCCTGAGCTCCAGCCTGGGGGAGGTGAGCTTCATTGTGGGAAGGTCTCCAACCTTGCCCATGTCCCTTGTGGCCTGGCTGACCCTCGAGGGCCCCAGTCTGGCCAGCCCACTCTCCTACCCCTTGCTGCCCCTCAGTGGGCACAGGGGAGGGGCCGGGGACACGGGCTCCCCCGCTCAGGCAGGGTGCACGCACCGGCCCTCGGTGTGAAGTCAGAGGTCAAGGAGTGCTCCTAGCCTCCCATGATGGGTTGTGGAAGGGTGTGCCTTCCCCTCGCGAGCCCCAGGTCTGCGCGGCCGTGGGTGTGCACCCCTCCTTGGGCTGTTGGAGAAGATCCTGGGAGTGAGGAGTGTCCCATCCTGGGGGGGAGCGTGACCCCAGGTGCATCCTCCCAGGGGTGGTCACCACCCTGCAATTGTGCATGGTTGCTCCCAGCCCGGACCGGAGACCACATGAGGCAGGCAGTCATGCGGGTCCCTTGCCTGGAAGGACAGCTCTAGCCTGGCCGGCCTTGTTGGTGCCCCCCGCTAATTCTGAGAGCTGTGGGCCCCTCTGAAAGGAGAATGTGGGGGACTTTTCGAGGCGGTCACTAGCACAGTGTGTTTCTGTCCCCAGCCCCAGGCCGGGTACCACAACAATTTGGGACATTGGTTCCTCTTGCTGCCAGATGGGCTGAGGCCCCAGCCAGGCGCCTACCTAAGGGCAGAAGCCTGCTTTGCGAGAGGCCACCATGGTCACTGCTGGCCGCACTGGCCATGTTCCCTCAGGTCCTCAGGAAGCTTTTCCCGTGGAGTGTGAGGGTATCGCCCAGAGACATTTCCTGTGGGGGTCAGGGTATCGCCTGGGGACACTTCCTATGGAGGTGTCAGGGTATTGCCTAGGGACACTTCCTGTGAGGTGTCACCTGAGGGGCACTTCCTTTGGGGCTGTGAGGGTATCACCTGGGATGTGGGACAGCAGCTCAGCTGTGGGTACATAAGTCATTTGAGCCTAATTTCTCCCTCCTGTTTGGCAGCCCAGTGGAGCTGGTGCCTCTACCCTGGACCCAAGCAAGAGGCTGGTGGGTGACACCTTGCGGCTCACCACCAGTGCACAGCAGGCTGTCCTGGGCTCTGGGCACGTTGCAGGGGCTGCAGGTCCGGGACCCTCTGCACAGTGTGTCTGTGGGCAGGAGCCGCATGTGGCGACACATGAGAGACCGTGTTGCCGTTGTACGAGTGTAGAAATGCCTGCTGTGTGCCAGGCCCTGTGCCAGGCGCCGGTGCAGCTGTGAGCAAGGCAGGCACAGGGTCCTGTCCTAGGGAAGGGCCTGGGGTCCCTGTAGATCCACACACCTGCCTGAGATGGGGACCACTTTCTCAAGACAGGCTCATAGCTGCAGGCTGCCAGGCTGCCTGGAGTTGGTGGGTGAACCTGCGGGCGGCTCAGCACCAGGGGACGGGGACAGCTAGAGCTAGACTGGCTCTTCTGTGGCTAGCGCTACAGTGATGGCTCCCAGCCCAGGAGTCCAAGGGGTACCCCCAGGAAGGACTGTGCCCCACCAAGGCCTGTGCAGCTGTCAGTCATGGGCTCTGTGCTGGGCCAAGGATCAGGGCCCCCCATTACCAGCTGGGGCTTTCCCATCCAGCTGAGTTCCAGCATCACTCTCCCCAGTCCCGTCCTGATAGGCCCATCCACACTCACCTGACCCATCTGTCCCCCATCCGTGGGTAGAGTCTTGGAAGGTGACTCTTCGTGTGGCGCTGCCTGGCTCTTGCTGTGATAATCGTGTTGATGTTCATCACCCTTCCCCCTCAGACCGTAAGCTTCAAGAAGTGTTTCTCGGGCGCAGCACCTCCAGGTGGGTGCTGCACATGCCCAGGGCCCCACCCTCAGAGCATGGTGTGGCCTCGCATCGTGTCACCCGTGGGATGACATGCGGAACCATGCGTCACTGCCGATTAACTGCTTTCTCCCGCCTTCCCCGCAGAAGGACATGGCCCTGAAGCCACATGAGCGGAAGGAGAAATGGGCACGGCGCCTCATCAAGAAGCCCCGCGAGTCAGAAAACGGCCCGTCCGCAGAGCCGAGTGAGAACGGGCGGCCCCTGGAGGTGGGCGACCCCGAGCAGGACCTGGAGCCTGCCGCGGACCGAGGAAAGAAGGTCCCGCTGCAGCCCGCCAAGCAGGTGAGCGCTGGGCCCCGCCCCACTCAGAGCCGCGGGCTGCGCGCCCCTCCCCCGGCGCCCGTGGGGCCACACCAGCACCTGGACACCACCCGTCGGCCTCTGGCCCTGCCTGGCAACGCGCTCCATCGTTGTCAGGCGTGGGGGATGGGGCACATGTGGACCGGGGCCGGATTCTGAGCAGAGGCAGGGGACCTGCCCAGGTGGGTGACAGCCAGAGGGAGGCCGAGCCTGGCCGGGCCGGGAGCCCGGGAATGGGGGTGGGGTGGGGTGGCGGCTGTGCTCGGCAGGGCCCAGGGTGCACCCGCTGATAGGCCGGCCCCGTTTCCCCATCGCGTCTGTCAGGCTCCGCCGACCACAGGGTGTCCAGCGTGTCTGTAATGCGCGGGGACCAGGCTCGTGGCTGGATGCGCTCCGCCCCCTAAACCTAGCTGAAGTGCAGTGTGTCTGCGGGCAGGGGCCGACGTGCGGTCGGTGGGCTGGGCGCAGGGGGCAGCCCTGCCTGAGGCCTGCAGCCGTCGCCCAGGGCCCCACGGGGACGCGGGCTCTGTCCTGGGCGCTCGGCACTGCCGCTGCTCCTGCTCGGGGCCTCGTTGGTCTGCGCCTTCTTTCGGAGGGGTTCTTCTCCGTGTTCACGCTTTCACCTCACGTGGGGACCGGGCCGCTGGTGAGGGGGCAGCATGTCTGGGCCCGGGCTGGATGGGGGGTCGGCAGGCACACTTGCCCAGGTGGACACGTGCTCTTTCTTCCATGCAGGTGTGCTCCCCAGAAGGGGGGCCGCTCCCAGCCAACCACTGGGACCAGAACGGCCCGGCCCAGCGCCAGCAGCAGCTCCAGCCCAGCCAGCCCCCGGGGTCACCCCCAGCCCCGTGTCGGCGCTGCCAGCCCAGTCGGGCTCTCCCGGACTCTGGGCAGCCCTGCCAGCCCCAGCAGCCACTCCCGAGTCAGCGCAGCTGGCCCCAGCGGTCACTTCTGGGCCCAAGACAGCCCTGCCAGCCCCGGCGGTCACTTCTGGGCCCAGGTCAGCCCTGCCGGCCCCAGCGGCTGCTTCCAGCCCCAGATCCGCACTGCCGGCCCCAGCGGTCACTCCCGGCTCAGCCCTACCGGCCACGGTGGGCGCTCCTAGGCCCCAGACAGCGCTGCCGGCCCCCGCGCTCCCTCCTGGCCCCGTGCCACCTCTGCCGGCCCCTGCGCTCCTTCCTGACCCCGTGCCATCTCTGCCGGCCCCTGCGGTCCCTGCTGGCCCTCTGGCACCGCTGCTGGCCCACTCGGTCGTGGGTGGCACCATGTCTGCATGGCCAGCCCAGCAGGGCATCCTCAGGACAGCGGTGCCGGCCCCTTCGGTCTCTGCTGGCCCAGTGCCAGCGGTGCCAGCCCCCCCAGTCCCTCCTCATGCTGCGTCCACGCCGCCGGCCCCCCAGCTTACTCGCAGGCCGGTGCTGCTGCCCCCGGCGGGCGCTCCTAGCCCCGTGCCAACCCCGAAGGTCCCTCCTGGGTCAGCCCAGTCACCCCCGGCAGTCACTGCTGGGCCTCAGTCAGCCCCAGCAATTAGCCGAAACCCCAGAGCAGTCCGGCCCCCCCAAACCTTCTCTTCTGGGCCCCAGACAGCCGCACGCACAGAAGCAGCCGCTCCTGGGCCCAGAACAGCCTCACGCACCCCAGCGGCCGCTCCTGGGCCCGAAGCAGCCCTGCCGGCCCCTGCGCTCGCTTCTGGGCCCGAGCCCACCCTGCAAACCCCAGCCGCTGCTGCCCCTCCCCGAGCCCCCTTCGCTTCTGGGGCGGCCAGCCCCACCCCGCCGGCCTCTCTTGGGGCCCGTGAGCCAGCCTCGGCGGTCCCTGCTGGACCCTGTCCC